GAGACGTCTATATTATCCTTAATACGGCTACTACCTTTTTACGTCATGGTAAAGACGCTGATGATAAGTCTTCTTGTATTTATACGCTGGTCGCCCTCGTTGGCTCTCTTCGATCCACTGTCTCCCCATGTGCAGGCTACAAACCGCAATTACATACGCTCGTGCTCATCCGGAATTCACTAAACATGGTCCCATCTGTCAAGAAGGCAAAATAAAAGGCAAACCTGTTAAGTACGCTATCACTGATTCTGTTTATGGCTCCGCAGAGCAATTCCACGTGGACATACAGGGGCCGTGTCCAAGTGCCACTATGGCAACCGCTGTTTTATGAATATGATGGATGATGATACTTGCTATGGTTTACATGTTGCCATGAACGACAACAATGATATTCACTCGACGCATATCACTTCGGAAGACCCCGGCTCGTACCCCTCAGCTCAACGGCAAAGTTGAGAGCCCCCATCTCCATGTTCAAAGAAATCACATGTACCCTGCTCCGATGTTCACTCCAACCCGTCTCTATGTGGCCTTACGCCCGTGCCTGCGCATGTACTATACGTAACGAGAATATAGCTTCCTGGACAGGTGCCACAGTTTCACGTTTTCCCAAAGCTAGGTACGTATATGTTGCCATGTTTAAACTCACAGGTAACAAGGCCAAAAAAGCTCACAAATTTGAGAGCAAGGTGAGTTTTGGTGTTTTCTTGGGCAGGGGACCGCGCACCACACCAGAAACATAGAAAATACAGAATTTACAACACATCGGCAGTCATGCTCTCGTGACGTTAAATTTCTCAGTAACGAACATACCCAGTGCTCGGCTAATAGTAAGCGTTGTACGCGCAGCGCAAATATGTCTGGCTACGACATTACTGTCGAATGGTATATACTAAATTCGTATACGACAGCCTCAGTTCCACATACTCCACGCCCTCTTTCTGCTACCATACATCGCCGCCTCCTTCTACGGTTCTACCTCCTCCGGCTCCCTCACCTCACGTTGCACTCATTTCTTGCCTCGCTTCTATGTCCCGTCAACTTAGCCATCGCCCCCTGCATCGAAGACTGCATGCATGACATTGGCTGGTCCCCTGAAAGTCGCACCTCATGTCCCCACTACAGGCGAACTTACTCTTCCCCCGGCATTCGGCCATCCTATTGAGGCTACTCTAGATCGCGGTTTTGAATACATAACACCGACAAAGAGTATCACTATTTTTTAAGCATACGTCGGCGACCGCAGCCTTTGCTCGCTAGTCAGTATCTCCCAGACACCCCTCCACATGTTCATGTTAACGTTGTCTTTACATACGTCCAGGATGGCTCTGAATCATTCTGACACGAACAACCGTTTTGATCTCGACTCCTCTAGATTCACTTATTCCTATTCGTCCACCACTCTCTGTGATGACTATATAAATGCCCAGCAGCAACTATTCGATTGCGTGTTATATATTTCCAGGTTCACCCTCGCATAAACTCCGTATGCCGATGAGAGTTTGAGTGAGCCATCGTACGCCTCCAAAATCTCGAGGGATGTCCACCTTCTGTTGTCCTCAGCTTTCACTACCTTGGTATGTAGCATGGAAGGATACACACCAGTGATGCAGTATAAAGCTACTGAGGTTTGCTCTTTAGTTCCTTGGATCGTTAGACCTTCATTACTGTCGTCGACGTATCATTCACTAAACCCCAGAACGTTCGTCACCACTATTCGCCCTCTCCTCATTAGCGTACGATTCAGTTGATTATGCATACAGATCCTTTACGTTCGTAATCGACATGCTTATCCATTTTATTGTCTCGGTCACGACCATGCTTCAAAGCAGCCTAAATGTCTTTACTCTCGAAACGCATATTAATTGCGAATTCTGACACTACATAACTCCTAACTGTCTGAAAAATTGCTTTGGATGCTAACTTTGCATTGCTCTCTAGACATGTAGGAAACATGTAGAAAACGAACTTGCAAAAATCGGCAATGGCGCTCTAATTCTCCACCTCTGTACTGGATCACTACGTAAGTCGACTTCTTCATTTGTGGCTCACTTAAAAGGGATGCTATTCTCTTGAATGTTGCGATAGATGTCATGCTCGCTATTTATATCGATTTCGTTTAGACCTTCTTCTCGACGCTGAGAATTTGCAGTCACCTTGTCCCAGACTGCATTCAATGTTACAGTCCTCTTCCTGTATTGCTATCTCCTTAATATAGTTTACATCGCCCCCGTCAGCCTCAGCTTGACTACTCGCCTCACGTTCTCGGTGTTAGCACTTCCTGATCCACTAGCATCTTCCGGGCTGACGACGAGAACTATTCCCACTAGCCGGTGTAGAAATACGGCCTCCGGTCAGTCTAAAATATCAAGATCAATTGAGATAATACATT